TCATTCATTCATTCTTTCATTCATTCATTCGTTCATTCATTCATTCATTCATTTCATTTCATTTCATTCATTCATTCATTCATTCATTCGTTCATTCATTCATTCATTCATTCATTTCAATTCATTCATTTCATTTCATTTCATTTCATTTCATTTCATTCATTCATTCATTCATTCATTCATTCATTTCATTCATCCATTCATTTCATCCATTCATTTCATTTCATTCATTCATTCATTTCATTTCATTTCCTTTCATTTCATTTCATTCATTCATTCATTTCATTCATTCACTCATTCATGTGCCCGCTCACTCTTTCAATGGTTCTTTGCGTCTTTCCTTCGGTCATGCAAACAACGTGTTTCCTTCATCCATTCGTTCTTTCACGTGCAATCATTTCCTTTGATCTGCCACTCGATCTTGCAATCAACTCCTTCAATGAAGCTTCCGAAGTTACGGACCAAATTCATGTAAAATTTCCTTCCTCAAGTCGTTCATTCACTCATTCATTCCTTCCTTCATACGTTCGCTCATTCAATCACTCGTTCATTCCTTCCTTCCTTCCTTCCTTCCTTCCTTCCTTCAGCCATTCATTCATTCATTCATTCCTTCCTTCATTCGTTCCAAAAATCATTTCATGTCAAAGCGTCCGCAGCTCACCACGATTCCTCTAGGCCACTTGCTTCCTCTCGCAATTTCACTCTCTGCAAAGAAACTTCCGCCCCGGTGCGGCCTGGCACTATCTGGTAAAATTGTATGTGTATATATATATATTTATACACACATGTGCCACTCTTTGCAAGGGCCATCGACTTGCATCGCCTTGAAGCTCCTATGATCTCTTCTCTGTCTCTCAAAGATGACACTTGCTATTGACATGCCTGGCGCATTCTGGAGCAAACTCACATGCGCGTTCGTCGAGCTAAGTTGGACGCTGGCTTAAAGTTCGCCGGAACGGCAATGTTGCTGTTCGTCAGTACCTATTGAGGTTAAGGCTAGGCGCTGCGCAGTGAACAAAAACGGAGACAAACATACAACAAGCGATAGGATGCCATGGGATTTTGGTTACAAGTCCCATGCATTGCAGAACCACAGCAACTGATTTTCCGAGGAGAGGACCGACTCCACACGTTTCAGGTCGTCATTGATTCTCAGCTGGAAGATATTGTCATATCTGCGGGGCTGGAAATATCCGGTTGACAATCGCACATGTTCCCCATGCATGCGTAAAACCATGTAAAACCATTGGCCGTAAAAACTACAGCAACTGAATTTCAATCAAAACCTATCTGAACCAACATGCATGCCAAGTAAACTGCAAACAAATTGAAACATGTAAGAACTATTTTTGAAACAGTAAAATGTTGGATGTGTACAATTTACATTTTGGTCGTAAATTGACAAACTTTGTCAAAATGTAAGTAGTTTTCTTGGAAAGTCGGTCAATGTGAGTGTTGTTGCACCAAAGATTTGGAAGAAAAGGATTCGCAACATCCATGCGTAAACCGTTTTTCATAACATTGACAAACGATGATGAATGGAACATGCCAACGTGAAACAAAGCAACTAGAGAAACCACGAAGAAATATCGACAGTGGAGCTACTGATGTGAAGTTGGCGGTGATCGACAAAGGGCAAGCAATGGCACTTGTCAATGCTAAGCTAGTACTGATGTCAAATGCGGATATACTAATGAAATACTAGCCAATAATAGCCTGCGTCTTCTGGCAGCTTCAACTTCAGCAATGGCGTTCTCATCTGGAGGCCCTTCACCGCTTGCTCGATTACCTCAGTTTTTTTTGGCGTTTGCAAGACAAAGCTAGCACATTCCATGCTTGTGATTGCACAGATTGCACCTTTGCAACTTCTAAGGGGGTAGCTTTTGAGTTCCTTGTCCTTGTCCTTTTTGTCTACCTCATGTAGGATTTGCTCATGCATCGTGAAAGAGCGGTGAAAGAAAAGTGCTGGGGCCTGTTCCAGCAACATACCAACGCAAAGCCGCATATCACCATGGATGCACATGCATGCGTACATCTGAACATGTATAATTATACGTATTTTTCTTATCACTTCTATATATATATGTGTGTGTGTGTGTCTGTGTGTTTCTTTAAATATATATATATATATACATATTCGTTTAAATATATATATATATAGTTATATTTGAATATTAAATATATATATATTATACTATGCATATTTGATTATCGAAGGAAGTTTAGAAGTCAAACTTCCGACAATATGGACAGATGAAAAGTAGAGATGGGAAGAGTCACAGAGAAGAGAAGAGTAGAAGAGAGAAGGTCAGAGAAGAGAAAGAGTCAGAAGAAAGAAGACGCAGATGCGCGAAAAGGTAGGAAAGTCGCGATTCACTATGTTTTTCCAATGATTTGGGGCTTCGGAGGTTCGGACCACTTTTAGCAGTTGAGATGTCGAAAAAGTGCACGCCGTTGTGGCGCGAAGCACATTTCGAAGTCAAAATGTACAAAACACACCATTGTCGGACCACTTTTGGAAGTTGAGATGTCGAAAAAGTGCACGCCGTTGCGGCGCGAAGCACATTTCGAAGTCAAAATGTACAAAACACACCACGTTCGGACCACTTTTGGAAGTTGAGATGTTGAAAAAGTGCACGCCGTCGTGGCGCGAAGCACATTTCGAAGTCAAAATGTTAAAAACACCAGGGGTTCGGACCACTTTTGGAGGTTCAGATGTCACCACTTAAAAATCAACACATAGAGCATGCATTTTGACAGGGGAAAAGGTGGTCTGATGTTCTAAGTGTCTTTCCTGCCGAGGAGAAATGACTGGAAATTCAAAAAACACCCGATTTCCAGGACATTCTTTTCTCCTCTTGCACGTTCTAAATCTTTAAAAACACAATTTGGGTTGTTCTAGGTGTATACTCTGCGCGTCTCTCCACGTAATTTATCAAGAATCGCGCGGCTAGATCTGTCAAAGCAAACTTTGGGACGCTAAAAAGATCGCCAATATTTGCAAAGCAAGTGGGAGGGAAGGGCCAAATGATACATTATGTCTATGCTTCCTACGGAATTAGCTGCTGAATCCAATACTTAGAACATCAGAACTCCCCAAAAACACCATAATGTACAGTGTTCCAGAGCTAAAAAGATTGCCAATATTTGCAAATCATATGGGAGGGAAGGGCCAAATGGTACTAAATTATGTCTGTGTTTCCTACGGAATTAGCTGCTTAGCCGCTGAATCCACTACTTAGAACATCAGAACCCCCAAAAGCACCAAAAGGTACAGTGTTCCAGAGATAAAAAGATCGCCAATATGTGCAAATCATGTGGGAGGGAAAGGCCAAACTGTATTAAATTATATCTATATCTATGTTTCCTACGGAATTAGCTGCTGAATCCAATACTTAGAACATCAGGACTCCTAAAAAACCACCATAATGTACAGTCTTCCAGAGCTAAAAAGATCGCCAATATTTGCAAATCATATGGAGGGAAAAGCCAAATGGTACTAAATTATGTCTATGTTTCCTACGAAATTAGCTGCTGAATCCAATACTTAGGACATCAGAACACCCAAAAAACAACATAAGGTAGAGCGTTCCATAGATAAAAAGATCGCCCATGTTCGCAAATCATATGGGAGGGAAAGGCCAAATGGTACTAAATTATTTCTATGTTTCCTACGGAATTAGCTGCTTAGCTGCTGAGTCCAATACTTAGAACATCAGAAACGCAAAAAAACACCATAAGGTAGTGTTACAGAGATAAAAAGATCGCCCATGTTCGCAAATCATATGGGAGGGAAAGGCCAAATGGTACTAAATTATGTCTATGTTTCCTACGGAATTAGCTGCTGAATCCAATACTTCGAACATCAGGACCCCTAAACCTAAAAGCACCAAAAGGTACAGTGTTCCAGAGATAAAAAGATCGCCAATATTTGCAAATCATCTGGGAGGGAAAGGCCAAACTGTATTAAATTATATCTATGTTTCCCACGGAACTACCTGCTGAATCCAGTACTTAGAACATCAAAGCCCTCAAAACGCATTATAAGGTACAGTGTACCAGAGATAAAAAGATCGCCAATATTTGCAAATCATATGGGAAGGAAAGGCCAAATGGTACTAAATTATGTCTATGTTTCCATATGTTCCCTACGGAACTAACGCCCAACTGCGCAGGCAAAAGCTACCCAAAGGCCACATCCATCGCTTCTTCTGCGCGGTCCAGCCTGCCGTTCGCCAGGCGTGACACGCTTCAAACCCTTCAAACGGTTAAACATTCTCTTGGCATGCCTCATCCCGCAGCCAACAGGCACCCCAAGGCCACATCAATGGCTTCTTCTGGGCGTCCAAGCCTGCCGTTTGCCAGCCCTTAAACGCCTAAAACCCTTAAAACCCTTAAAAGCCTTCAAACCCTGAAAACTGTGCAAAAGCTTCTCGGAAGGCTCAACCGCGCAGGCAAAAGTTACCCCATGGCCACATCCATCGCTTCTTCTGGGCCGTCCAGCCTGCCGTTCGCCAGGCGTTACATGCTTCAAACCCTTCAAGCCCTTAAACATTCTCTTGGCATGCCTCATCCCGCAGCCAACAGGCACCCCAAGGCCACATCAATGGCTTCTTCTGGGCGTCCAAGCCTGCCGTTTGCCAGCCCTTAAACGCCTAAAACCCTTAAAACCCTTCAAACCCTTAAGACCCTTAAAAGCCTTCAAACCCTGAAAACTGTGCAAAAGCTTCTCGGAACGCCCAACCGCGCAGGCAAAAGCTACTCCAAGGCGACATCCATCGCTTCTTCTGGGCCGTCCAGCCTGCCGCTCGCCAGGCGTTACATGCTTCAAACCCTTCAAACGCTTAAACATTCTCTTGGCATGCCTCATCCCGCAGCCAACAGGCACCCCAAGGCCACATCAATGGCTTCTTCTGGGCGTCCAAGCCTGCCGTTTGCCAGCCCTTAAACGCCTAAAACCCTTAAAACCCTTCAAACCCTTAAGACCCTTAAAAGCCTTCAAACCCTGAAAACTGTGCAAAAGCTTCTCGGAACGCCCAACCGCGCAGGCAAAAGCTACTCCAAGGCGACATCCATCGCTTCTTCTGGGCCGTCCAGCCTGCCGCTCGCCAGGCGTTACATGCTTCAAACCCTTCAAACGCTTAAACATTCTCTTGGCGTGCCTCATCCCGCAGCCAACAGAACCCCTCAAGGCCAAATCAATCGCTTCTTCTTGGCGTCCAAGCCTGCCGTTTGCCAGCCTTTACAAGCTTCAAAAGGTACCCCAAGGCCAGATCAATGGCTTCTTCTCGGCGCTCAAGCCTGCCGTTTACGACCTTTTTCCTGCACAACGCCGTCCTTGACAGAAAACTGGTTCCCAGAGACCGTTCGATGGTCAATTTGCCCTATCTTCACGTCACTGGCCACATTCCCTTTGCACGCGGGGCAAACGTAAACATACGCTTTTTCCGTCACAACGCCGTCCTTCACAGAAAACTTACCCCAAGGCCAGATCAATGGCTTCTTCTGGGCGTTCAAGCCGGCCGTTTACCACCTTTCTCCTTCACCACGCCGTCCTTGACAGAAAACTGGTTCCCACAGGCCGTTCGATGGTCAATTTGCCCTGTCTTCACGTCACTGGCCACATTCCCTTAATGGGGGGGTCGGCGGCACCAGGGCGTTAGCCCATTCCGGCGATGCCTCGCCGTTTGGTGGTGTTGCTAAGCGCATAGCTTTAGCTACCCGACCTTTTCGAAAATCCTTCAGGGTGCTGAGGTTTTCACGTTTTTCGGGGTTCGGGGTGGGAAAAAAGATGGTAAAATTCGAAGATGCGTTTTGGAAGTCCTTGTTGGGCGGTTTTTGTCGGTTTTTGGTAAATGTTTCATAATTTTTTGGTACTGTCCATGCGTAAAATTCCTGTAATTTATAATGTTTTTGTGTCTTTGGCATCTAGAAAAAGCTTCTGACAACATGCTGGAAACTGCGTAAATACCCGGGCCACAAAACACTGTAAATACCGTGATTTTTGCTAGCAGAGGCTCAAAACCTCGTAAATACCGTGGTTTTGCGTTGGCGCGGAGCCAAAAACATCGGTATTTACGGTGTTTTTGTTCCGAGAACGTGAAAAATCGCGAAAACATCGCCTATTTGACGCTTTTTGGGGGTTTGCAAAAACCGTCGGTTTGACGATTTTGGGGGGTTTGCAAAAAGTACCACCTACAAAGATAACAACGACAACGACAACAGCACCAAGCAGCAACAGCTATAACAACAACAATAACAACAACGACGACGCCGCCGCCGACGACGAAGAAGACGACGACAACAACGACAACGACAACAATGACGATTCTTACCCTCTCTCTTTCCCTCCCCCGACCCCTACAGGCATCGCCGGTGTGCGAAGCTCTACAATTTATATGCTTAGTCCCACACATTCTGTTCTACGCACATCAAAGCTGAGCTTAAATAACTGGTTTGAAACATTCCTATACTCACCCCGCCTTTTTCCATTACTTTTAGTATAGTGGACACGTACTTAGAACATCATCATGTACAATTTGATGTTCTAAGCATGGATTTTTGGGGGATGTTCTAAGTATGGTTCCCCGACTTCATACTTAGAACATCTACCCTGCTAAATGTTGGAGGAGCGTTTTCCAAAATGATGTTTTATATAAGAATTTGACGGACCATATAATATGATTTGACAAAGATGAAACTTGAATGTAAAATATTGGGTCCATAAAACGTTGCAAAGTTTGCACAGTTTTCTGGATTCAAGATTCAAGATTCTGTCCCAATCCAGGGTTCAAGATTCAAGATTCTGATAAAACTTTTTGAATCCAGACTTCCCTCATCAAGACTCAAGGCTTGGGATTCGAAAAGTGCTTCTCAGAATCTTGAATCTTGAATCTTGGATTGGGATTCAAACAGTTTTTCTCAGAGTCTTGAATCTTGAATCCCAGAAACTTTGCAAGTTTGCAAAGTGATTCTTGATATTGAACATACAGATTGATTCATCATTCATGCGCTTTCTTTATTGCCACTGCTCGTATCACAAAATAAAGTACAGAAAAGGCAGGTATTTTGGGTGTCTTGGTGTTTTATTTGTTTTTTTTGTGTGTGTTTTGATCCTTAGCATTAACCCAGATTATTACAAACCAAATCTGAATCATCTTGCTTCTAAGGCATCATGTATTTACTAAATGCATAGCCTTACAAACCTTACAAACCATTACTTAAGACTTAAGAAAATGCTTATATGATAAACATGCGCAGTATTCTGTGGGGATGTGCAATTTTCCATTTAAAGGGTGAAGGCCTTTGGGATGTGCAATTTTCTTCTTTTGGTGAGTGAACCATTTCCTTCAATTCAATGGTGTTCCTTTCCAAATAGATTGAAATTGGGATTTTTTTTTAAAAGGAGTATCACATTCTTTTCGGAGAATTGGTGCTACTTTCACACATAAAGGACAGCTGAGACATTTTGTTTTTTGGGTAAGTGAAGCATTTACTTCAAATGAATGAGATGCATTTTCAAAGGACCTTTCTAAGAAATGGTGCTACTTTCCACAGTAGAGCTGGATTTCTTTGAAAGGAGTATGACATTGTTATCCTTTAAGGAAATTGTGTTACCTTCAAACATAGATAAGAGCTGAGCTTTGAAGGGGGCGTTACTTTTTTTAGTAGACATATTTGATATATTTCATATGCAACAATATACACGTCATATTCTGCAACAATATTGTTTCTGTTGTTTAAACAAATGGCTGTAGCTTTAAGTGAAGTAGTGTTCTTTAAAGGAGAATGCATCTGTTTGAGAAAATATATCCATCATGAAAAAGGGAGACAGGAAGAATGTATATACAAGCACCGTACTTAAGTCACATCAGGCGGGAAAAGTCACATCACCCCCATGGCACGACGGCGATAAGGAGAAGTCATATCAGGTAGTGGAAAGTCACATCAGGGAAGAAGAATCACCATGGCACAGCCTGTTTCATCTATACTTGGAGATGTAGTTAAAAGTAGCCGAAGCATTGCGCACAGTGATGATTTTGAAGGGCACAAGTTAATACAAACAAATTCTCGGCAGCTAATCCTATTGGATTTGAATATATTATATTGATGTCCTGCGTCGCGCGATCAAATCAAACCCCTATTGGTACAGCCTCAAATTTCTTGCAATGCAAGTGGGCTAATTGTAGCAAATCCTATTGGCAGGGCTGTGATCTAGGATGATATAAGCATATGGGGGCCCCTTGTTTCCGCAACCAAATCTATGGCTGGGGCGATGTGCATCAATGTTGTGGGCAGCTTGCGAGATGGTGCGAGATGGCGCAGATGGTGAGCACAGCGACACAACCGCGCTATGCGACAGCAGTGTTTCATTCCAACCAGCCGGAAACATTCCCTCTCTCTGCTGGTGTCTCCCGCCCGTACCTCCCGTCAGCGCCAAACAAGGCGACCGAGACTGTCATTTTCTGTTTCGGCAAAATGTTTGCACGAGCGGCAGCAGCACCAGGAGGAAGCAGCAGCACCAGGAGGAAGCAGCAGCAGCAGGAGGAAGCAGCAGCAGCAGGAGGAGGAGGAAGCAGCAGCAGCAGGAGGAGGAAGCAGCAACAGCAGCAGGCAAGCAGCAGCAGCAGCAGGAGGCAGCAGCAGGCAAGCAACAGGCAAGAAGCAGCAGGCAAGCAGTAGCAGCAGGCAAGCAGCAGCAGGGAGCAGCACAAAGCAGCAGCACAAAGCAGCAGCAGCAGCAGCAGGAGGAGGAAGCAGCAGCAGCAGGAGGAAGCAGCAGCAACAGGAGGAGGAAGCAACAGCAGCAAGCAGCAGCAGCAGCAGCAGGAGACAGCAGCAGGCAAGCAGCAGCAGCCAAGCAGCAACAGGCAAGAAGCAGCAGGCTAGCAGCAGCAGGCAAGCAGCAAGCAGCAGCATGGAGCAGCAAGCAGCAGGCAAGCAGCAGGTGAGCAGCAGGTAAGCTGCAGGTGAGCAGCAACAGGTAAGCAGCAGCAAGCAGCAGCAAGCAGCAGCAAGCAGCAGCAAGCAGCAGCAGGCAAGCAGCAGGCAAGCAGCAGGCAAGCAGCAGGCAAGCAGCAACCAGCGTTTGCCCCCTTGAAAGAATAATCAAATATATTTTTTGAAAATCAACGCAATAAAAAAATGAACTTTTTCCAGCCGCACGGCCCCAAAACAATGAAATCGTTCAAATACTAAAAGTTGTGGTGATGCCAAACTTGAACTTTTTCCAGGCGCACGGCCTCCCGATACGACTTTTGCAAGCTGATACGACTTAACGCTAGCGCTTGTACTTAAAATACAATGCATATTGTAGAGAACTAGTGTGTTTTTCGAAAAATAGTTCAACCTTCAAAGGGAGATTTTCCCAAAAAGTTCTGCTAGCTCAAAGCAACCATTGGCTTATATAACTTATACAAGTGAAAACGCATCTTTTATTTTTTAAGGGATGCTGCATATTTGTGAAGAAAACTGCACTTCTTTAAAGAATCTCATCTCTTCAGAACATTACTTTCTGGAAATGTAGCACAGGTTCAAGTCTCAATAGGTGGGATCGATTACATATTCCTCTTTGGACAATTGCTGTGCTGTGCAACTCAAGCTACAGTACAAGTCTTGTTCATTTAACATTAAGTGCTCTTCCACAGTCACTTAGAATGTAAATTCAACTGTGACAGATTGCACCATGGCAGGGCATTTGTGTGATACCACCTGGCTACAAACAAGACATTAGCATCAGGCTGTGTGATGGACTTTTGCTTGAATATACTGATGGCATCAAGGGTAACCAATCTATTGAACATATCATATCCACAACCTGTTGAAAACACCACGGAGCTTCCTGGCAGATGAATTAAGACTCATTTCTGCAAGTTTTACTTAAACGGTAGGTACCGGGGGGGCGAGCGCACACACACACATGTATATATATATACTAGTATATATATATAATGTTTGTAATTATGTATTGTGTATAATATATATATACACAGACAAAGACACCCAAGCACACACACAAACACCCGTGGGCATCCTATCTAATAACTACCTAACTTATTATCTCCCCATCTTCTCTTGCTTGATCTCACCGGATCTTACATCACATCGCATCTATTTGATTCTCCTAACCCACGTACCTGCGCAGTCGACTCTTTTTGTATTCAGTTCTCTCTTTTTATATCTATTTATGTATATTTATGTATATCTATCTATATCTATCAGTCTCTATCTATATAATCTAAACTAATCTCATCTAATCTATCTAATCTATGTACTCTAATCTAATCTATCGATTGTCTGTCTATCTATCTATCGATCTATCGATCTGTTGATCAATCTATCTGACCATCATATCCACCCTTTTGTTTCGTCCATCAATCCATACAGCTGTCCGTCCATCACTCAAATTCACTCAAGGTGCAATTGTAGCACATGAATATACACAGCCAAATAATATGTGTACCAACCAACTTGTACATTCTTGTAAACATAATGTAAACTTATCACGTTTCAAGGCAGAAGCTTGTCGCATGCTTGTCCGGCCCTGCCGTACCCTGCCTCTCGATAGTGGAGTTCGAAGCGCAATTCCTGCGCTTGCTTGTCCTCTTCCACGACCTGTGCTGCATGGTACTTTCAGCTGTCTTGGGCTTGAGAGAAAGCCGAGTTTCAATAAGTTTCAACTTCAAGACAGCCTCACACATGCACACACAGACATATGTGAGTAATTAGATACGTTGGGATTGTTGACTTATTTGCATTTACTTTAATTATTATTTCTCGTTCAATTTAAGAATTGTTTGATGTGTATATACTGGTATTGTATTTGTATCATCATGTACTGGAAATACAACAAATTAATATGAACGTAAAGATGACAAAAATTTGCGCACTCAGCGCGAAGCGGCTCATGCAGCTCTTGTATGGAGGGTGTGGGTCGGCGACAGTATGGTTCGTCAAAGGCTCCACGTGCCGAAGAAGCAGGTGAATGCCATGAACGTTGCATGAAGAAAATAAACACCGCTGCATACTGCCAGACAAATGTGATATTGTATGATTGAACGACGACGATCCATTCTTAATGTTGTGAGTGAAGGGGCGGATGCGAAGGGGGAAGGAAATCACGCGCTTGGTAGTGCAGCTGCCCCCACATCCCTTAACTGATTTGAGCAAAATGGAATGATCGTCTGAAAATTAATTAGCTAGTCATTAAAACTTTATAACAAGATATGACATGCAGCGCAGGATTCTGCCTCTGACTTCGCCACACCAACAAGGACTCGGACCGATGTTTTTATTATTTTGAATCTAATTAATCAAGCACCAACAAGAGTCTGAATGGCCTCTTCCTCCAGCTGGCCACCATCAGAAATCTGCTGGCGCCGACAGTCTGCTGCCTTCAAACAAGAATTATGACACCATATGTGAGGAAAAAAAAACTTGCCGTGTGTATTTGAAGCTGTCCTGCAATGGAGTAGTCTAATTAGACCTGTTTCAGGTCATACCATATCATATTGTGAGTTTCTCATGTCATAGTTTCCTGGGTTTGAAGGTATCTGTGCATTGGAGAAGGATGGAGAAGGGTTGAATGCTTGAACCATGCATAAATGTTCAAAGGCCCTATTCTCATTGACAATTCTTATGCCTCGCGTTGCTCCCGAATAAATGCCGCAAGGTCCTGCCAAGAATGACAATGCAATGACTCAGGAGTTATCCGCTGTAGAACATACCGTATATGATTGTATATGCATATGTACATACATCTATATATACATATGCATGTCTACATACATGTGTAAGTGTACGCATGACATATCATAAAATACTATATAACAATATATAACAATATATAACAATTACATATGTGCCTATGCATTAAAGCAGAAACAATCATATACATGTATATTTACGAATGTTTTCGTGGAACTTTGCTGCAACTGTTATCATACGTCTATATAATAAGTCAGTCCTGTCCTGTCTTATCAATTGCACAAACGTGCGCACACATGCTCATGCAATCTGATATAGAAACATCGGAATGTCTGTCCTTCAATGGCAGTTTGCCAGCAGTTTGGTTCAAAATGAAATTTGTTGAATGTTGATCAGCTCGTGTGGTTGGAACCTGACCAGCGTGATGTGGCACACTTCAGACCGCATTCTCACTCATCATTGTCACTGTGAGAAAAATGATTTGGCCTTGATTCCATTGATGGTTCTCTCAAGTTCATCTACCTTGAAGGTAGGATGAATTACCTGCCACAGGCAGATGGGGAAAGACAGGAACTCCCAGGCTTGCCTTTGGCAGTGGTTGATTCAGCGCTCGAAATAGCGCTCGAAATGTCTCTCTCGCATTTGTTTAGCAAAACAGGATTGTCAACAGAACAGCGCCTGTTACAAACGCCATCAAGCGCCAAGCAAAAAAATAAAGGGGAATCAAACAAATGGGATTAAAACATATTAAAATATATTAAACCATCTTGTTCATTGCAACGGGATCAAAAGATAGTTTTAATTTAATTATTGGGATCAAAAAACAAATATGCCGGAACCCCAGCGCGATTGCCACATGTCTGTATGTATCCATGTACTGTACGTGTAGCCATCAAGTGCAAATCTTGTTTCGCGGGCGGCTTCCCCCAAAGGAAAGGAAACTGCGCCGTGAGTTTCTTATGTTGTTCTTTGTTGTGATGATTGTAGGGTCGATACAACGATGAAGATACGACAAAGAAAGCAATCAGCAAATGACACAAGATCAGATCAAACCAAACCCGATAGATGAGATAGACAGGACATTCAAACATGATGGACAAGATAGACAAGAGAGACAAAATAGAAACAACATGAAAAAAGTGAACTTGAGAGAGAAGATTGACACGATATGGCACGATAACCAAAATGGACAATATAAATATTATTAAATCGACTGGTAAGCAAGATATGATAAGATAAGATAACAAGATTAAAAAAAAACAGGATAAAACCAGCACGAAACATGACCAAAGCAAACGCTAATATGATAAAATGAGAAAACACACGATCAAAAAACACAACATAAAATACCATAAGATACAAATACAATGAAACCAATTGATATCAATTATATAATTACGACCGGTCGAGAATATCAGGTGCAAATAGGGGGAAGGGAAGTGGAACTGCGCCGTTCTTTTCTCGTTGTTCTTTGTTGTGTTCATTGTAGGATTGAGAAAGCGATCAAGAAACCGTGATAGATAAGAAACAGCCGATGCAATATACAAATAAGACAACTATCAGCAAATGACAGATAGACACAGCATCAGATCAGACCAGATCAGATACATAGACAAGACAGCCAGACATGATGGACAATGATGGACAAGGAAGACTAGAGAGACAAAATAGAAACGATAAAAATAGTAATTACATAAACAAGAGACATAAGAAAGATAAGGTAGACAAAATAAGCAGGATAGAGATGATACAAAGATAGGCAAGATAGGCAAAAAAAACCAAAGAAATACGAAACAAAACATTACCTAAACAAAATGTTACTATAAGACTTTAAGATGATGCCACACAAAAAAAAAACACATACAAGAAGCTACCGGCTACCAGTCAAGCCAAGCCAAGCCAGGCAGCCAAGCAAAGATTTCGTAGCGTCGGGGGGGGGGATTTGGGGGAGGGCGCAGCGTCGCTCCCCAAAGAAACGAAACCATGCCGTTCTCTTCTTGTGTTCTTTGTTGTGATGATTGTAGAACTACAGGGATTTGACAAAGTCATGCCTAAGTCACTCCTTTCGCTTTCCCCGCTTGTGAACGCAACATCAAGAAGTCATGCCTAAGTCATGCCTTTCGGTCTTCCCCCATTGTGAACGCAAGCGTCAAAATAACCCTTTCCAAATCAGAACCTTTCACTTTCACCCTTTTTTCTCTTCCCTGTGCTTGCGATTCACTGTTTCTTCTTTGCCCACTTTCTTCCCCAAACAGGTTTATCTGTATGGGGTTCTCTGGGTAGCTATGGCCCCCTTACACAGAAAGAGGCCAAGGCAGTTTGTAAGTTCTTACTCCTTTGAAAGGGTTGCAGTCCTGGGTCACATTATTTGCTTCTGTCTCCGGGCTTGCATTCCTGGCATGCTCTCCGACTACGGTCTGGGTGCTCTGGGCCGCCTGGTTATACAATGTTATACACTCGTCTCCCACTTGTCTCCACTTGTGTCCCACTTGTCTCCTACTCACCTGCATTTCGCATGATGTGCCTGGTGTGCCTCAACAGCACCCACCCAGCAGGACTGGACAGGCAGAGACAAGAAACAACGACCAAGCAAAGAGGGAGACCAGCTGCAGCAAACATCCACCAGCAGCACCTGCCCAAAGAAGAGAGCAAGAGGAAGGCAAGAGCACCAACCAAAGATACCAAAGAGCAACCAAAGAAGGGCAGGGAAGGGGAAAGGACCAGGAAATCTAAGCCTGGAAAAACGAGAGCAAAAACGAGATCAAAACGAGATGCAAACGAGATCCGAGCCCTGGCAGCAGCAAACTCCCGGAAAGTAAAATCGGAAGGTTGAATCACATGAAGGAGAAGCCTACATGGCATCACGCATTGACGCAGCACAAGCAGGCAGAACCCAGCAGCAGCAGCAGCAGCAGCAGGCAGAACCTAGGAGCAGCAGGCAGAACCAAGAACCACAACCAAGCACAAGCAGGCAGCACCCGCCACAAGCGGGCAAAACCCAGCACAAGCGTGCAGAACCCAGAACCCAGCAGCAGCAGGCAGCAGCAGGCAGCAGCAGGCAGCAGCAGGAGCAGGCAGCAGCAGGCAGAACGCAGCAGCAGGCAGCAGCAGGCAGAACGCAGCAACAGCAGGCAGAACCCAGCAGCAGCACGCAGAACCCAGCGCAAGCGGGCAGAACCGAGCACAAGCAGGCAGATCCCAGCAGGCACGGATTCTAACAGGAGGGGACAGAACCATACAGAACCTAAATTTGATAAGTTTCAATGGGCACGCCTCTCACGGAACTATTGACAATGACATCACCATACAGATTGCAATCAATACCACACAGGGTTATATAAGTAGAATCATGTCAAGAATACACTGCCCACAGCGATGAAACAGTATTCAAATCAACAGCCAGTCAAATAAAGAAAAGAACTATCAAAATCTAAACGAAACACTGCGCGCACGCAGGTGTGATACGACTTCAGGTCACTTGGTACGACGTAAGCCTAGCGGTAGGTAGTAGTTCAGAAGCAATCCAGCAGCAGTTTGGCAGTAGCCAGCGGCAGCAACTGAGCAACAGCCAACAATTGAGCAGCAGTTTAACAGTAGTTGCTGAATACAGTTGAACGTACAGAAGTCACTGATAAGAAAGCAGCTGCAGCAAAAAAAAGTTTCCCCCCAACTGAACTCAACAAAAACTACATATACCCTAAGCATAACTAGATACCTAAACCCAAGCTGAACGCAAGAAAAAACACAAAAACACTGAAAAACATGGTTGCGCTGTGATCACCAGAGTTTGCTTGCGTTTTGCAAAAAGGCACGACTTCCAGGGAAAGCTTCGACGCAACTAAATATAGACATTTCTTTAAAAAAGGAACGACTTTGTCGATTGCCTGGCCTGTAACGAACTAATCAAAAGATAAAGAGAAAGAGAGAGAGAGAGAGATATCAAAAAGAAACAACATGGGATGACAAAATAAACTGTTCCTTCCTTCCTTCCTTCCTTCCTTCCTTCCTTTCTTCCTTCCCTCCCTCCCTCCCTCCCTCCCTCCCTCCCCTCCTCTTTTTCCTTCCCTCCTTTCCTACCTGGGAATACCTATCTTTTGATCCTAATACAGCAGCAAGCCTAGCCCTACTATTCAATATTTTTTGATCCTAATTACTAATCACCATATGTTTTGATGCGTGTGCATGATGAACAACCTCGTACCAATTCACCACATATGGTCAATCGCACCATTTCATATATATATATAGAGATATATATATAGATATGTTCTGTTTTGCGGCTAGGGACATGTCTATAAAATTGAAACAAACTCCCAGCCCTGACCCCGTGTCCTTTGGTATCATAAGAGTCGTCATAAGTTCACTCCATTTTAACCGGCTTGCACCTGTAGCGGGCCTTTCTTTCTTCCCTGCAGTTGCTTGGACATTTGAACACTTCGGACTTGCAAACTGTAGGCATTAATAGCAATATACGGTAACATGTGAAAAACCATCGAAAACATCTGCCGCACAGCTGGTTCAATTTTCAATCGGACCTTCAGTTTGCTCAATGTAGCAGCCTTCTCTTCCTGGGGCACAAACTTGGACAGTGTCCGTTGACGTCCGTTGCTTTTCAATCTGCGATGGCTTGCTCACTCTTGGCTCAACTCTGCCAAGAACTGTGGCAAAGTGCTGCAAACCCAAAGCATGCTTTTTGCAGCCATTTTTTCTACATCTGCATCTGGACTGTACCGATTGTATCGTATCTGTATGATTTTGTATGGTTCTTTATGTCCTGCTTCTTCTGAGCTGCGACGACGCTTCGCTCTGCCATCTCCTCTTTGAACACCTTTTACTGTGAGTTTCAAACGGGCAACTAAATTGACAAACAGGCGCGCCCTAGACAAGAAATAGACCGATTGGGAAGTGAGTGCCGCATGCATGACCAAACACACCTGAAGTTTGGCAGATTCTGGAAAGCAGGACCCGAGCACTGTGACCTGCATCGGTTTGCTGAAGATACACTTTGATGCGCATATGAAAAACGGACAAAAGGGAAGCAAGCAGCGCCAATGGCATCAAAATCAAAACCTTTGTTACACCATGCCAGCCAAAGTTGAGGTTGGATTTGCAAGGCAACCGCACCAGTGCGGGTTCAGAATTGAACTGCGCCACATGGAACTGAAGCTCGGCCCGGGCCGTCCTGCCACTGTTTCAAATGAAATTCCCTCAAATTGTCCAGGAAAATGACAATGTCTTTCCCCCCCATCCTGTGTTTCATCGGGGCAAAGGTCGCCACAATTTCGCTGCTACCATCAGCAGGGATGATGCCTGCCACTTGATGCCGGCTGGTGCAAAACGCAAGCTGGGCACGCAATGCAAGCGATTGCGTTCCCTTCGCGCCCAGCTATGCCCAGCTTATCGTGAATGCCAAGGCGCGCATGTCATTGCCAGACATGTTAAGTTTGCATGCAAATCGATGTTGTATCTATATTGTCTGAAGAATAGAGGTATGCAAACAAACCCTACGTACAAAAGACTGCTTCAGAGGCCTGCCTGAAAGGGGCGTGATGGTAAGGTCTGGGTGGGCCTCCACAACGGTGATCTCGAACCTTTGCGCTACGATGACGTCACATGCATGCCCGGACAAGCTTCACAAAGGCTCTACTGTGAATTTTGTATTCAATGCTTTTCTCATGTTATACCAGTAGTACCGCACACGGCGGTGGCCGAAGTTTCAAAAATAGGAAACCTATAGGAAAGGTTGGTTGTGTGAATCCGGAATGGCAGAGCGAAGCCACTGATGGATCGAAAGGTGATTGATGTCTCCTCTCTTTCTCTCTCTTTCTCTGACTACCTACCTACCTACCTATCTATCTATGTATCTATCTATCTATCGATCTATCTGTCCATCTATCTATCTATCTATCTATCTATCTATCTCTCTCTCTCTCTCTCCCTCTCTCTCTTTCATCTGTCTATCTGTCTAGCTGTCTTTCTTTCTTTCTTTCTTTCTTTCTTTCTTTCTTTCTTTCTTTCTTTCTTTCTTTCTTTCTTTCTTTCTTTCTTTCTTTCTTTCTTTCTTTCTTTCTTTCTTTCTCTCTCTTTCATCTGTCTATCTGTCTAGCTGTCTACCTGTCTATCTGTCTATCTATCTATCTATCTGTCTATCTGTGGTGCAGTGTCATTCAGTGTAATGTAGTGTAGTGTAGTGGAGTGTAGTGGAATGTAGCGTAGTGTAGTGTAATGTAGTGTAGTGTAATTTAGTGTAGTGTAATTTAGTGTAGTGGAGTGTAGTGGAGTGTAGTGGAGTGTAGTTGTGTAGTTGTACTTGTAGTTGTAGTGTGGTGGAGTGTAGCGTAATGTAGCGAAGTGCAGCGGAAGGTAGTGTAGTGTAGTGTAATGTAGTGTAGTGTAGTGCAATGTAGTGTAGTGTAGTGTAGTGGAGTGTAGTGTAGTGTAGTGTAATTTAGTGTAGTGGAATGTAATGGAGTGTAGTGGAGTGTAGTTGTGTAGTTGTAGTTGTAGTGTTGTGGAGTGTAGTGTCTTGTAGTGTAATGTACTGTAGTGGAGTGTAGTGTAATGTAGTGTAGTGTAGTGAAGCGAAACGAAGCGAAACGAAGCGACATCTGAACCTCCAAAAGTGGTCCGAACCCCTGGTGTTTTTAACATTTTGACTTCGAAATGTGCTTCTCGCCACAACGGCGTGCACTTTTTCGACATCTGAACTTCCAAAAGTGGTCCGAACCCCTGGTGCTTTGTACATTTTGACTTCGAAATGTGCTTCGCGCCGCAACGGCATGCACTTTTTCGACATCTCAACTTCCAAAAGTGGTCCGACAATGGTGTGCTTTGTACATGTTGACTTTGAAATGTGCTTCGCGCCACAAGGGCGTGCACTTTTTCGACATCTCAACTTCCAAAAGTGCTCCGAGCACCAGGTGCTTTGTACATTTTGACTTGGAAATGTGCTTCGTGCCACAACGGCGTGCAATTTTTCATCTCTCATCTGGCCAGCTGCCTCCGCACCCGCCGCTTTAGCGAGCCTACTTTTCGACCCTCCGGAGCCCCAAATCATTGGAAAAACACAGTGTCTCGCGACTTTCCTACCTTTTCCCGCATCTGCATCTGCTTTCTTCTGACTCTTTCTCTTCTCTGATCTTCTCTCTTCTACTCTCTCTCTTCTCTCTGCCTCTTCCCTGCTCTGCTTTTCATCTGTCCATATTGTCGGAAGTTTGACTTCTAAACTTCCTTCTAAACTTCCTTCGATCACTTTTTTCCAACTGCGAATCGTGTGCCTTTCATTTCCCTGGAAAAAGCTAGAGCAGGGGATGGCTCAAGATTCAAGATGCTCCAGGCCCGTGGCTCAAATTGAATTGGGATCTTGCACGACAAAGGGATGACCTTGGATTGGGACCTGCCAGAACAGGTCACATGTTCGACGCATTCACTTTTTTTTGCACGCGTTATTTTCGCTGCCAGTAGTATCGTAAATTTGCCACACAGCCAACATCTCAGTAGCCAGGTCCCCTGCGTCCCGATAGCCACAGAACCGAAGTCCAAAATCCGAGGCAAAACGATGTCATTGGCTGATGGATAGCCGTGGATTGGCCTCGGTCAAGTTGTGGTAATGGGCTGAAAGTTGGAAGAAAGCCGCAACTCGACACATGCAAACAAACAAACCAGAAAAACGACAAAATACACAGCAAATCTGATAGGTTTCTGGTTTGTCAGCCCGTGACACCACCAAATTTTCGGCCAACTCTCCGCAAAAGATCTTGATTGTGTCACTGTGGTATCGCCTTTCATCATTTTTTCATCGGTCTTTCATCGTGGAGTTCAACGTCGTAACATAATGTAACATAAGCATCCATAGGCGTGATTTTTTTTGGATGTTTCTGGAGGTGGTTCAACTTGCCAGTGATACCATTCATGCGGCTCAAAGGTCACCATGATGTCTTCGCTCATTCCAGGCCTTGGCACTTGGCAACCATCAAGATATTCCTTCAAAGTCAGAGCGGCATCTGGCGGTTGAGATTGCAACATTTTTGGGTATTTTCAACCGTGACGGTGGCATGCTTTTATATACAGTAAGTAGTAAGAGCTCGAAAACCTGCATTGCGTCCGAAGATGTCAGGCGTGCTTCATATTATTCAAACATTGTTATTTATGTGTATATATATATATATGGTTGTTGATCAAAATTCCTTTATCCCGGAACGGCCATTCTTCGCGAATAAAAATTTTACTTTCGCGAAACTTTCGCGAACTCCATGTTTATCTTTCGCGGGGCCCATGTTGGCCAACAACCCCTCTTATGAAGATTCGTTCACCGCCTGCCAAATTACGCCAGAGAATCACGGATCACTTCTTGGTAGCCTTTTAAACATGCAGCTAGCATCACGGAATCCCTTCTCAGGACAGATTTTTTTTGCAAAGTTTACTGGCCCACCCCCTTCAACATTCACTTTGACTTTCGCCCGCTCTTTCGCATAACTTTCGCGGAACTTTCGCGAAAATATCCCTATTCACAGACCCCGGCCATCAGCAGGGGGTGCACTGAAGGAAAAGCGAAGACCAGGGGCCTTGGTGTTTGGCTCTCGCAAAGCCTCACTTTTGGAAACTTGGCTACTGCTACTCGCATTCTCTGGTGCCCTTTTCCTGCCGGACCCCGGGCGGCAGTGGGTGGCAGCCCTTTACATATAATGATTATAATACCCAACTTTCGCGAAACTTTCGCGAAATAAAATTTTACTTTCGCAAAATCGAAAAAAAAAACTTTCGCGAGGGTTTCCAACATAACATGCACGGCTTTCGCAATTAAAACTCCTTACAAGGACCTTTAGATCGATCACCATATATATATATATATATATATATGCGTGTGTGTGTGCGCGTAATATTTATATAATATATATATATACGCACACACCTCAGAAGGACGTAACGAAAGCATACGAAAGCCAGATCCAAGGTGATGTGAAATGGGACATGAACGATGAAAGTCAGCTAGCAAACCGCAAATTTCTCACCCACAGATTCGCCACCCACAGATTCCTCACCCACAGCATTCTCACCCACAGATCTCTCACCCGCACACTTCTGACCCACGGACTTCTCACCCGCAGACTTTGCACCCGCAGACTTCTCACACGCAGATTTCTCACCCACAGATTCCTCACCCAGACTTCTCACCCACAGGATTCTCACCCATAGACCTCTCACCCATAGACTTCTGACCCACATGTTTCTGACCCACAGGATTCTCACCCATAGATCTCTCACGGCAGAATTGTCACCCACAGACTTCTCGCCCACGGACTTCTCACCCACAGACGCAAAAGCACATCTGAACGTCCAAAAGTGCTCCGTACACGTCAATTTTTGCATTTTTCCCCACCTGCCAGGTGAGGGTTGTTCCTCACCTTCCAGGTGAGGGTTGTTAGATTTAATCAGAGCTGTTCTCCTCCTCCTCCTCAGCTAGCTGTCCTCCTCCTCCTCGTCCTCCTCCTCCTCCCCCTCTAGTTTCTCCTCGACCATGTCTGCATCAACTTCCACCTCCAGTTCCGCCTTGCCAACTCTTCGCCAAGCTCTTTGCCAACTCTCTTCGTCTCTTCGCCAAGCTCTTTGCCAACTTCCCAGCTCAGTGTGCACTGGGACCTCAACCTGGGACCTGCCCAGCTCAGTGTGCACCGCTGGACCTTAAGCTCAGTGTGCACCGCTGGACCTCAACCAGGGACCGTCTCAGCTCAGTGTGCACCGCTGGACCTCAACCTGGGACCTGCCCAGCCCAGTGTGGATCGCTGGACCTCGACCTGGGATTTGCCCAGCGCAGTGCGCACCGCTGGACCTCAACCGGGGACCTCCCCAGCTCAGTGTGCACTGCTGGACCTCAACGGCAGATAGAATGCCAGAAGATATGCCAGATAGAATGTCAGATGGAATGTCAGAAGATATGCCAGATAAAATTCCATGAGATATGGCAAAAAGAATGCCAGAAGATATGCCAGATAGAATGCCAGAAGATATGCCAGAAAATATGCCAGAACATCTGCCAGAAGATATGCTAGATAGAATGCCAGAAGATATGTCAGATAGAATGCCAGAAGATTTGCCAGATAGAATGCCAGAAGATATGCCAGATAGAATGCCAGATAGAATGCCAGAAGATATGCCAGATAGAATGCCAGAAGATTTGCCAGTAAGAAAATGTATAAATGTCATGGTGGGGATCACACGAAGTAAAGTAATTGATTTTATCAGAGTTGTTCTCCTCCTCCTCCTCCTCCTCGTTGGCTAGCTGTCCTCCTCCTCCTCCTCGTCCTCCTCCTCCTCCTCCTCTAGTTTCTCCTCGACCATGTCTGCATCAACTTCCACATCCACTTCCACCTTGCCAACTCTTCGCCAAGCTCTTTGCCAACTCTCTTCGCCAAGCTCTTTGCCAACTTCCCAGCTCAGTGTGCACTGGGACCTCAACCTGGGACCTGCCCAGCTCAATGTGCGCCGCTGGACCTCAACCTGGGACCTTCCCAGCTCAGTGTGCACCGCTGGACCTCAACCTGGGGCCTTGCCAGCTCAGTGTGCACGGCTGGACCTCAACCAGGGACCGTCTCAGCTCAGTGTGCACCGCTGGACCTCAACCAGGGACCGTCTCAGCTCAGTGTGCACCGCTGGACCTCAACCTGGGACCTGCCCAGCCCAGTGTGGATCGCTGGACCTCGACCTGGGATTTGCCCAGCTCAGTGAGAGAGTGAGTGAGAGAGAGTGGGTGAGAGAGAGGGAGAGTGAGAGAGAGAGAGAGAGTGAGTGAGAGAGAGTGAGTGAGAGTGAGAGTGAGAGTGAGTGTGAGAGTGAGAGAGTGAGAGAGTGAGAGAGTGAGAGAGTGAGAGAGTGAGAGAGTGAGTGAGTGAGTGAGTGAGTGAGTGAGTGAGTGAGTGAGTGAGTGGGTGAGTGGGTGAGTGGGTGAGTGGGTGAGTGGGTGAGTGGGTGAGTGAGTGAGTGAGTGAGAGAGTGAGAGAGTGAGAGAGTGAGAGAGTGAGAGAGAGTGAGAGAGAGTGAGAGAGAGTGAGAGAGAGTGAGAGAGAGTGAGAGAGAGTGAGAGAGAGTGAGAGAGAGTGAGAGAGAGTGAGAGAGAGAGTGAGAGAGAGAGAGTGAGAGAGTGAGAGAGTGAGAGTGAGAGTAAGTGATAAGTTGTTCAGGTGCATGATTGCTGCGGGGTATCTGCATGATAGTACGGTAGGTGCCAGCAACCTTCTTCAAAACGTTTCAAAACTATCTTTAATGATTTAATGAACGCATTTGGATTTCTGCGAAGACCCTTGTAATCTGGAAACTTCCACGAATTTAGGATGTACGTCGTAGTGTTTCCTGTTTCTGGGTCTTGCCAAAGCTGTGCCTCACTATGGTCGTCAACTCAGATGAGCTCAGAAGGTTACAATCCCACAGCATTGCGTGTATTGACGTGTATTGCATACCGCGGTTTGCAGTCACAACAAAAACTTGTGTGACCGTGCTCCTGATCCCACCTCGTTTGAGTAAAAATGGGGCAGTGCAAGCACAATTGCTGAAAGGCTTGAGTCATGCACGGTCGTGCATTCTCTCAGGTTCAGAGTTTGATGTGGGATGCATCTTGAAGTCAGGAGTAGGGGCTGTAATAGCAACTGGCTCACAGTAGTTGAGGATGGTTCAGAATAGCTACAGAGGCTATTCATAGAAACTTTGCACTCCCACTCATGTACCGGATGGCACATGCAGCATGCATTCTACTGTACCTCTTGCAAAGAGATGCAAACAGTTCTGCTCGCGAGTCCATCTTGAGTTTCACTCGCTGATAGCTGAGCTGTGATAGCCTAGACTGCCTCTTACATTGTGGCAGCCTCATCCAATGCATATCACATCATGTCACCAGGATGCGAGGACTCGGGGAGGATGTTCTTAGGACTCTACGCCAGAAGCCCTTTCTTGTCGAAATTGATCTTGAACCATTGTGTCTCTGGACCTTAAGAAATAGAATTGCAAAAGATCTCGGAATCAAAATTGCGGCCAGAATAAGAATAAGGCTGGGACCAAGGATAGACACTCGCAGTGACGATGGCGATATGTTCACAATTCTGAGCAACTGAGTGTGCTCCTCACAAGCCAAAATATGGAGCAATGATGAGCAATGCATCGCATTTTTCCCCCCCAAATCTGCCCAGGCGCGCATCAGAAGTATTGGTTCTGGTGTGTCTGGTTCTAACACTTCTACTGCGCCACTTAGACAGCTAGGCTCTGCCTTGTGAACTTGGAAACCACCAAAGTGCAGGATGTGAGGCCTCCCAATCGCATACTTCAGAATGTTGCGGAAAACGGGATGTGAGGTTGTGCCACCTAACCAAGACTGTATCGTTTTCACATGCATCTACCTGTGAAAATGTCAAACATGTCCGTTTGATGGAGCTTGGACGGCATTTTAAACTATGAAATCATATAGTACTCGCCTGGTCTCAATCACCTCATTTCGATGGAGCTTCTCAAAGGTCTCCTTCTCCAGGATAGGATGCCTTTCTTTTGGAATTCAAAGGGTTTCAATTGATTTCAGATGAAAGTCGGGGTTTGAACAGCTTGTGGGATGGAGCGGTTGGGGGAGTGCAGCCGCCCAAGCTGTATTGAGCTATTTTGTTGCCCCTTTTCGTTCTGTGAGGGATAAAGAAAGAAATTAACAAATGCATCGCCCCTCTCGATGTCGGTATCTATCTGTCTGTCTGTCTGTCTGTCTGTCTATCTATCTATCTACCTACCTATCTACTTATCCACCTGGGTGGGTTAGAAGTGGTGCTTCGTACGTTTCTGTTTCGGCCCTGCCCGGGGCAAACGCGAAAACTCGAAAAGTAGCAGCGCGGATTCAATGGCAAAACCCGAAAAGTATAGAAAAGTGTTGAAAAGTGGAGAACTGGCAACTGGCCACTGTTCTCGAGTCGAAAAGTACTCACTTTTCTCGAAAAGTCGATCATTGTCATGGGATTCTGGGGTGGTGCATCTCTGAGCCACTTCACGCGATAAACTGACACACTGTACAGCAAATCAATAGTTTCCATTTGGATTGTGGACGCATTTTCTGAAATCCGCCCAAAGGTAGGAACCTCAAGGGTTACATGGCAGTCCCCAAAGTAGTAACCATTAGTAACCTCAAGGTTTTACAACGCAGTTGGGCAAAACAAACAAATCAAACTGTGATGGCAGTCGAGAGTTGGACTCTATCTAGTCTATATTACATTCTCTGGTCGCCGACCGATTTTTAGAAAAAAACAAAAAATACCGAGCACCTGCCGTATCTTCAGTTTTCCCCAAAAGGGTCAACAACAAAAAAAATATGTTTTTATCGTTAAATTCGTTAACTTTGGCCATTTCCAGGGTTTTCTATAATTCTGTCGGTGACTTTCTCTTGTTTCTATAATTCATATTGCCCCTGTATTTTGGATAATCCCTACCAAATTTCCTCCGAATACCATAGTTTCTGATACCCCCTTTGTGATCCAGGTTGGAATTAGCCGGCTGACGTTGGACCCCCAATTTGTAGACTACAATCCTGCGGCCTTACGGTGGACTTACTACATATTTTGGGGCCTGAGGTTTTTTTTGTTTATTACAATCTGCTAAATCACCGAATTGTTCCTATGCATCGCTAAAGTATGCTAAAGTATGAGTATGCCCACTTGGAAACAGGGCAAATTCGCCAAGCAAATGCAAGCAAATGAATGCAAATTAGAAGCGCTGGAAATCAATGAAAATCTATGAAAACCTATCAACATATGTAGGTTTTTCATGGTTTTTCCGTCTTAAACCCACATGTGCTGACCCCACAAATGTGGGAAAAGCCCGGCGGTGGCTCTTCCTTCTTTCTGCGCGGCATCTCTACACACAGCTCTTTACACAGCTTTCAGCCAATAAGTTAGAGGCGGCGAGAGGGTTAGTTGTTTCACCCTAAAAAATGGATAAAGGGTGAAACAACTAACCCTCTTGCCGCCTCTAACTTATTGGCTGCGAGCTGTGTAAAGAGCATTTTAGAGGGATTTTAGAGTTTATCTATTATTTAATAATAGATAAACTCTAAAATCCCTATAAAATGGATACACACCTCAAAACCATGTATAAATAAATCCTATAAAATGTTTAAATATGCCAACATCACACCAAAAACCTGCAAAACCGACTGTAGAATGGAGAACCGGGTTCTATCCAATAGAATGGCTATACCAGGTTCCATGATATTCTGCCCAACCCAACACCTCTGTAAAGTGGATATTCCAAACTGGAAAAAACCCAACAAAGGAACTGTATATAGAATGGATCTTCCAGGTCTAGCAGTTCCCAAAACATGCTCAAAATTAGCCTCTTGTAAAATGCATACCCCCAGGTTCATTTTACAGCAAAAGCTGAAAAAACATTTCCAGCCTGCATTTTGGTTTTTATTAAGGTCCCAGGTCCCCCCATTTTACAGGGTTTATTTCAACAGGGATGCTTTTGTATTTTTGCTTCTATGGCCCCATTGCCTACCAGAAGTCTCGCGTTTGTGCTATCAGATGATTGAGGCGAATCAAAAAACATGCACAGGTCTGAACAATAATTTGTATC